ATATGAGTTGAAGTAGAACCCAAAACAAAACAGAAAGCTTTCATAACTGTTTTGAAAGATGGAGAGAAGAACAAATATTTAAAGATAATTTGGGGTGATCTTCAGACTTTAAGGCTTCTCAGTGGGTGCAGAGAAAATGTGAACCCTTGTAAGAACAGGCAGTTAATATAATTCTACTCACCAGAAAGGAACAGCCCAGGGCTTGGTAAGGGCAGGTACTGATGCCTTCATGTCAAGAGCCACCATGTTCACAGGAGAGGTTCTTACCAGCCCTCTCAGCATAGAAGGCAAAGACCAAATAAACAATGAGACCCTGTCATACTCCGTTACTATATTTTTCTTCTAAAACCAAATCCCGTTTTTGAGCATAACTGCTTTAAAGTCTTTGTTATGAATTGTGACCTGACTCTACTGGATCATAAACCCATACTTTAATTAAAAGTGACCAAATAGGTAGACTGACAGGCAGGGAGCAGACACTGCTTTAATCCATTATGTGTTTTTACAGAATCTGTGAACACAGTGCATTTTGCAGTTTTATACTTCACAGTCCCAGCCCTCTTGCTAACCTGGGATGCAAACAGTCCCTGTTTGCAGTGCTCGGCACCAAGGCCCAAGCTGTGTGGTAAAACAAAATTATGTCACCCTCCCTCACATCTGCTGTTCTTCTTGGGGAATATCTCAATTCAGTGTGATTCAATTCCAAAACTGTGGTTTTCTGAGGAACTATGTACTTAGAAAAAATGCTGAAAGGAATCATTAAATGGCTTACAATCTCTTTTCCCTTGTGCTTTGGTGACCACTTATTTCCCTCACTCAAGCAAAGATGGATAACAAATTACTTGTTTCGGTTAATAATAAAAAAGCTGAAATGCCAACCAAAGAAAGGTATTTAAGCAAGCAAAGATGGATAACAAATTACTTGTTTCGGTTAATAATAAAAAAGCTGAAATGCCAACCAAAGAAAGGCATTATTCATGAATTTATTTAATCTTCTCTTTATTGCTTAGCCATTGTGGTGATCCAGTGATTCAGCCAAACTATCTATTTCCAGTACTGCTTTTACAGTATAAAAATGCCTTGAGTTTGCACTTAATGGAACAGAAAGGAATTCTGCATGCGGGAAAAAGAGTGTCTGGGAAACAAAAATTACCAATTTGTTCTATTTCAGTCTGAAAAAAATCTCCCTCATCTTAGAGCAGGCAATTTAGGGGCTGGTTTGGGTAGACACTCTCTGCGAACATCCCTAGTTCTCATCTCTGCAAAGCCAAACTACAGAGCTGACAAAATAGGCGAAAACATCCTTCTTTGCTAAATTAATGGCTCACATAGGACTTCATGTGTTGCTGATCCACAGGTGCCACTGAGCTTGTGACTCTTCTCCTGGTGGGAAATCTGGGCAGGCTTCCAGCTGTGACTCCACTGCTCCACAGCCTTTCTAAGCTGTCAACAGGCACATACTATCTCCCTTCAACATTTAGTCTTGCAGAATATGGCATAGTAGTGCTCTTATTTTTCCACCTGCAAAAAATATATATTAACACATTGTTGTGTCTACATTCTTAAAAGTACATTTTGAGAACATCAGTAGATGCAAATCAGTCAAAATCAATATCAGAACTGACCAACCATTCTGTTCTTAGGATAAAGTGAAAGAAAACATATAACAAGAAAATTTGGACCTGTGACAATGTTCTGACTCAGACACACAACTTAACTAGACAGTATAAAGAATACATAATCAAAACATGAGATCAGATTCAACTTACTCTCTTGGAGAGTACATGATTTTCTAAGTTTGCTTTTTAAATAAAGAACTATCTGCACTGACAGTACCTCTTTTAGGGCACAAGTAGCAAAATGACAGTGTATGGAAAGCAAAAGTCTCGTTTCCTGAACCCAGGCATCAGCGACATATTCCAGTTGCAACAGTGAGATTACATCAACACAAATCCATACATTCATGTGCTACACAGCCCCATGGTCAGCCTTGCCTGTACTACTTTGAGGATTGCTTCCATGAGGAAATGCTGCCAAAGCAAGCCCTTCATTTCCAGGACAGTGTGTCTCTGACCTCTGTTAGAGCATTAATTGCACTAAATGCCATATGGTATATTTGATAAATTGTTAATTTAACAAAGAGTTTGAATGGACTGATTTCAGATGATTTTTTTTTCTTGTTTTTAAAGAGAGCTTTCTGGGGTTTAGAGGGAAATTAAATATATAAGAATACATTCAGTATAAAAATATCTACAGCCTTATAGAATACTATAAACAAAGTGTTCAGAAACACACTTCATTTTCTGTCAAAGATGAAAATGGTTCTGTTCTCTGAAGTATAGTCACAATACTCAGATTTGTAAGAGCTAGGAATCCAGAATGGGACAATGGGAGAGTAAATTTGCGTATGATAATATGATCACCTTTTGCCTGTGTGTTGTAATAGGTAAACATAAATCACTCAAGATATGCAACTGGTCAATCACTGAAAAATATTCTTCTAAAAAACCTGAAGTTGTTTTGCCACTTAGGGCTGTTGCAGGCATAGTTTTTGTGGAGCTAAAATAGTCTCCACTTCTACTGTGTGCTTTTAATGCCCTTGGTTGTGTAAACTTGAATGTAAGGAAATGGCCTGAAGCTGCATCAGAGGAAGTTCAGATTAGATACTAGGAAAAGGTTCTTCACTGAAAAGGTGGTCAGGCACAGGAACAGGCTCCTCAGGGAAGCCTCCCCAGCACCAAGTCTGCCAGATTTCAATAAGTGTTTGGACGGTGTTCTCAGACATATGGTTTGATTTTTGGGTGGTCCTGCGTAGAACCATGAATTTGAGTTGAGGATTCTTGTGGTTCCCTTCCTGTGATTCTACAACTTTATTGTCCCATTCCTCTAATCCTCTGATTCTACAACTTTAGGTGGAGACTGCAAAGTTTTGGTGTCTTCCTATGGATGAAGTCATGTTGGCTGTCTAAGCTTCCTTAACAATCAATGGTGATTTAGTGTATACAGTCAATGGAGTTTTGAGAGCTATTCAGGTGAACAAATGGCGCTTGTGCTGAGCTCTGTTGAGCCACTTTGGGGAATCTATTGACTAGGAGATGGATTTAGTTGTCGAAACATACGTATCTAATACAATTTGAGGCCCCTGAAAATAATCCTTCATGACCTCCACAAGGATAAGTCCATGAGGCCATGAACCTCCAAAGATTCCATGTCACATCTAACCTATGTGGCTGTTTTGGATAGTGGAGGACATCTAGGTCACTGGACAGCTGCTTTTAGGCTTCTACCCTAACTGTATTGACAATAACATCCATTTATACATATACCTCTATGCATATACCATTAAAATATAGATGTGCATGTAAGTATATGTGGGCATAGGTATAGCTATAAATACAGGTGGATGTGTATGTATATAGATGTATAATACATTTGTGTTCATATGTGTGCACATATGTGTATCTGTATGTATACATTTATGTGCACATACATACATGTGTATACATGTACGTATAAAAGTATCACAGAAATTTACAAGAATGAAACTCCACATGGACAGATTAAATCTATATCCTGACCCAGAGCTGAATCTGAATTTAAATTGCCTTTTTTTTTTTTGGGCTTTCTGGAAAGCATGATTTCCCAACCGAAACTCTTGGTACACTGAGAAAATCCTGCCTGGTACTCACATTTCCTTAGTAGATAGCAGTGGGGCTGGCTAGAGAGCTACAGCACAGAGATGTGGCCTAACGTAAAAAGCCTTTGAGCTAAACTACTTTGAGGCCACTGTTGTAGCTGCAATATTGACTTGTATCAACTTGTGTTGATATCAACTCTCTCCTCTCCTCTCCTCTCCTCTCCTCTCCTCTCCTCTCCTCTCCTCTCCTCTCCTCTCCTCTCCTCTCCTCTCCTCTCCTCTCCTCTCCTCTCCTCTCCTCTCCTCTCCTCTCCTCTCCTCTCCTCCTCTCCTCTCCTCTCCTCTCCTCTCCTCTCCTCTCCTCTCCTCTCCTCTCCTCTCCTCTCCTCTCCTCTCCTCTCCTCTCCTCTCCTCTCCTCAAGACATTTCCTGTACTGTATTCTTGTTGTTATTTTTTTGTATTGTTTTTATTTTATTTTTATTTTCTCAATTTACACATATAAACATATTAACCACCTCTTGTAACTATTTTCTCATTAAAATACTCCACATCTGCCAGCCCAGAGTACATCTGTGCCCTAACGAACTCTTTTGGTTCCAGTGTGAATAAGTGAGAAATGTCACTTACTCCTTCAGGAGTGCTAACTTTGGCGATAATGTTTACTTTCAGTAATGAGCTTTAATTACTTTAGCAATTACAATGTATTTGACTAAGTTTCCACTGACTGCACATGACATCTGCGCTGGTAGGACCGTACATATACCCTCTGATCTCTGCCCAGGGCTCCTCTAGAATATGGTAACAGCTGTAGTCCATTAGTCTATAAAACAGTAGGCAAGCAGACATCCTTCAGATTTACACCAGTAGATTTAAATCAGTAGTTCTTGCCTTTTGTGTCAAGCAGAGACTAAGACATACAAGATTTTGTCTTGTTCTCACCTAATGTAAAGGTTTAATCATTCAGTGTAAGCAGTCTTCTCGCAATCTGATGCGCTCTGGATTGGTTTGAGAGGCTCTGGCAATGCTGCTTTCTGAGCAGAGGTCTAATGTTGATGCTTTTGCACAGAGCATGTCAAACTGACTTCCTTCAAGTGGTTGCCCCATAAAGTGAGTGCTACAGAAAGAACCCAGTGGGAAATCTGTATTCTTGTTAAATTATACGTGGTTGTCCATATTTCAGGAGTTAAAATGTTGAAGCTCATTGAAAGATGTAGCTCTGTTGTGTTCTTAAAGATGCCATTTGAAATTATGACAGAAGGTGGTAAAAGTCTTCTTGGTAAAAAGATGTTATTTGCAACCATCTTCCACATGTGTATGAACTAGATAAAAAGAAGATTAAGTTTCAAAGCCAATCAATCATTTGTTAGCAGATGACAGAGCTGAAACCTCTTTTTCAGCTTTGTGCCTCTGGTGACATGCCTCTACCCTTATTCTCTAGTCCCGGTGTCTGTGTGTGCCTTCTCTGATGGATGGTCTTCTACAACATGAACCATGTCTCTTGGAACATCATCAGCAAATCTGGGAACCTCTGAGCTCACAGGAGCAGTGCGAGCATCCCTACCTACTGCTCTCATGCCTTGCTCCTAGACTGTCCTTGCCAACGAAGAGAATGATTGTGAAGCAGTCCTACATAGTGACAAGCTGGGAGTGCTGATAATGAGCTCTGTGGGGATGTTGCTTGCTCTGCTCTGCTACCCTGGTTCTGCATATGTGCAGGGCATGCTTGGTGTGGGCAGAATGTTTAGAAGAGATTTCTGGGATAAAATTCCACTGAGCTTTCTGAGTCTGCTTCTGTCCTTCTGGGAATGGCAAGAGGATACGTGCACAGCTTTGAGACCTCCAGGAGTAGCACTGACTCATGCAGTGCACCACAGCGCTCTGTGCAGCTGAGTGACCTTTGAGGTACTTTGGGCAGTGGAAACAGTCATGCTGGAAAGTGAGATAAACTGATCCTCCTGTAAAGAAAGCTCCTTTCAAGAGGAAGAAGACAGGAATTTGCCCTAGGAAGGAGCAAAGAGCAAAAGGAAAGAAAGCAGACTTTTGCTTCAGCATCCAGAATCCAGTAGGAACCCAGAAGGCTATTAACTCCCGGTTTCTCTGCCATCTGCAACAGTTCAAAAAATCAACAGATCACAAAAATGTCTTTGAGGTGATTAAAGATTAGATGGAAGTACAAACAAGCCCACTGTAACCCTGTCTCTCCTCGCCCCTCCCCACTCCCCGCACATAACAAGTTTGTTCCCCAGCGGATGCCAGAAGGGCCAGGTGTCCTCGCTTTCTCCCCTGTCACTACCATGAAGTTTCAGGATGCCTTTCAATGCCCTCCTGGAGCTTTGCAGCTGTGCATTATGGCTTGTGAGGGGAATTGGCTAGATAACAGGCTTTGGCTCCTCAGACAGTAATTATTTCAATGGAATTACCAGCACAAATGTATATTTCTCAGGTGAATGAGGACAGAACAAACATGCAAGTTATTTTCCTGAAAGCTGCAAATGGAGCCCAAACATTCTTGCAATGACTCGTTCCAGTGCCAGCTCTCTCCTCCCCTACTTTCTGTAGAGAACTGATAGGAAGGGGGAATAATTTGTGCTCATAAATAAGTTTGCATAGAAGAATTAATGAGCTGTGAAACTGTTACAGAGCTAGTCAAAGACAGATATTTCAAAGGAGGGGTCACATAAGCAAGGCTTTTTCCTTGATAAATGAAGCCAAGAAAAAAAAAAAAGTGGAAAGATACATATAAATTCAACAGAACAAAACAGAACACCCAAAATAAAAACAAAAACAAAACCCCAAACCAGCAGAAAATGATTTTATTTTATTTTATTTTATTTTTATTGTTAAGATATGAAAAGAATGTCCTGGGGTTGATTCACAAAGCTTTTGGAGGAAGGCATGTAACCTCCTCCACACTTGGAAATCTGTCACGATGAGAGAGATCTGGGTCCCAATCACATCCTTCAGTCCTTTGCCTGAGGCTGTGGTTTGACATGACAGTGTGTTTGGTGACAATACCACAAGCTCCCACCCTTTCAATTGCTCCAGCAGTCGATCCATGTCAGTTTGTGCAGTCACACTATGATGTGAAACATGGATGGATCTTGCAGAAAAGTGAGTGGTTGCCTTTTTTCCCTCATACGTATTGGTTTATCTCAGTGGTTCACAGCACATCTAGGTGAAGAGAGGGCAAGAGTAAATGAATGACAGATTTTATCGGTATTTAACAATTTACAGCTTAAATCCCAACCAAAAGTTACTGTAGTGATAACTCTGAAAGATGTGGCATAATCATTGGGCTTTAAGATTTTCTTTAAAACCCCGAATGGGATACACCTGCTGGATATTGGTAACTTTGCATAAAACAACTCTTTGTCTAGAAGGGACTGATTAAAATAAAAGTGCACCCAGAAACTACTTAACACATCTATCAGACTGGAGAAATATTTCAAGCTGTAGCTCTCCAGTTGTTAACAGCAGGTCCCTGCAAGAGCAGGCTGCTGACCCATATCCTGGTCAGATCACAGTGTCACTACTACAGTTAACTGTTTTTCTGAGTGACTGGTGTTGTGTTTCTCACTGGTTAGGGCAATAAACTAATCCATCAGTGGAGGATGGATTCTGCCTGGTCCTGAAGTGACCCAGAACATGGGAGAAGACTTTTGCTCTTCATTTAGCTTAAATAAGAGAACACATCAGCTCAGATGTGAATGGAGTATGGTCATGATCCAGCATGTGGACAACACGTATGTGATCCCACCATTGCTGACTACAGGGAAGGGGACTGAAATTGCCTTCTGTCATTGCAGCTGGATGTTTTTTATAAACTGAGCCTCCTCACCTCAGCTTTAACAGAGCAGACAGTGCTTGGCCAGAGTATAAGGCAAGATACTCCCTTTCTAAATGTACGTTCCCTTTCTTTAGAGAAGTAAGACATATGTGCCTGTGTTATCTGATTATTCTGTCCTTCTCATCAGCCTATGTACCTGCCTGTCCAGCAAGTGGAATAGGACTGAGAAGTACTGTGGAGTTGGAAAGAAAGGGTCTGTTCTGAATGCTGTTGTATGTGGCTTCATTTACTCCAGTGGCTTCAATACTCTGTACAGGCAAGAGTGAGAAAGAAAAAGAAAAAGAAAAAGAAAAAAAAGATATTTATTATTTTCCACTTCAAAAGGAGCTTATGTAAATGAAAATCATGCACTATTTGTCAGACAGAGAGAGCCTTACATTCACGGCAGGAGTAGTAATTGAAATAATGATTTCCTACTATCCTCATGCTTACTTACAGTTACAGACAAAATCAGCAGAAACACGGTAGGCCATTATTGCAGAAAAGCTGTTGCCTGAGTCGGGAGCCACCTTTCTTTAAAGGAAATCAAATGCCTGGTCTTTGTAAGGAAATCCCACAGTCTTCAAGCTGCTGTTGCAGTGGTTCATCTCAACAGGAAAGTGACTTGCTTTCTAAGGACTCCTAAGCAGAAACCTGCTTGCTGTACCAAAACCCATGCTGAGCAACACCATCCTGTTCTGTGTCCTGGAAGGATTCCTATCTTAAATGAAAGATGTCAAATCTGAAACTTAAGCTACCAGCTATTAATGTATTTATAACAGCACAAGGGGACCAAAGTTTTTGAGAGATTTCTGTTAGAGGAGTAAGAAAGGATAAGAGCTGTAGCTACAAGATTTAACACATCTTCAATTCTACAGATGTCCAAAATGGAACTGAAGTGCTTTTGAATTTTGTATTTGCCTTTCCTCTCTTCTTTTCTGAATGGCAACAGATCAACAAAAATCTCAGGACCCAATAATTTTGTGAGCTTAAGAATTTCGTTGGTTGTTTTGATATGAATTGATAACCACTCTTAAATTCAGCTGATGACCAGCACCATCATGATGGAAATACTGTTTATTTTCTTTCAGATGGGCTAAGATGGGATTATCTTCTGGAATTTGTGGAAAACTAATGAACATCTTTGTACATGGCTTTGATATTAGGTGTTTTATTTAACAGATTTTTATTTTTATTCAGAGAAGATTACAAATGCAAATCCAGGGAAATTTATGCTGCCTATGGTCATGCTTTTACTCTAGAAGAAAAAAAGGATTTGAACAGGAATTAGTCACAATCAGCAAATTATATTTTGCATTTTATTTTATTTTATTTTATTTTATTTTATTTTATTTTATTTTATTTTACTTTGAAATGTTTTAACTCCTGAAGTGTTATTTCATGTTTAGTTAGTATTCAGTTTCATTGCTGGTAGGCAAAATGCATATACAGAAATAACGGATCTTCCATATGCACCCTCTGAAGTAACAAGGTCAGAGTGCATTCCTGTGTCTTATTCAGAAGACATCTGTATGAGAAATGTATATATATATTTAATACTTACTTCTCTTATATTTTTTTTCCACTGCATTTTATATTTTCTGCTCACATTGATTTTACACTGCTTCATCTTCACTGACTTTGGAAGAATTATATCAGAGCTACATGGGTGTGATTTACTGGGAATGAAGCCCATTACACATAATTAACTGTAGTGTATTGTTATAATTCTTCTTTTTATTTAAGATATTTTTTTCCTACTTTTCCCCAGAGTGTTTTCCATCTGCTCCAGGAACAGAAGTAGAAAGGAAAGCTATTTATTTTTTCGCTCTTTAATGGCATGTAGAGCATGAAGAATGCTAGCTGAGTTCCACTGTTGCAAGCCTTTTTTTTTTTTTTTTTTTTTTTTTCCCTGTACATTTCTCACTGATACTGTCTGTATTGCTGGGCCAAAATTATTGAGCCCAAGGACAAAGCTATTCTGGACGTCAAGAAGATATTTGAAAGAGATCAAGAAGCAACTGACTAGAGATTTAATTGAGGCATGGGCATTGTTCCCCCAAATCCTTATCGAGACTACAGACTGGCCATTTGCAGGCACTGATCAAGGAACACCAGTTCAGCATCTGAACTCCATCTCCTCTTTCCTTTCAAGAGGCATGTTGAAAAACCATCATGCTTGTTCCTATTGCTGAGCTGGTTATATCAGATATTTTCATGTCCACTCCCTTTGAAAGCCTGCATCATGCATTTATGTAAGGAAATTAAGTTTCTCAAAAAAAGACTTGGACAACTGGATGCATATAACTCATTGCTGACCTTTGAAACTTTGGTGCATTGCGAAAAGTCAGAGTGTGAGAGCAGTGTTCTTGGAGGAGGGCGATGCCTCCTGGCTTCAGAGGGCTGCTGAGAAAACTGCAAGGCTTTTTCCTTTGTCTTAGTAACAAACATCAGCTTCACTGAGTATGTTTTTAAGTGCACTGGTCTGAACAGAAAGAAAGGGAAGGCCCTGGAAGACAAAGCCCCGAGAAATAATTTTGATACACTTTTCATACATCAGAAGCAGATATAAAGCATTCCAAAATATCTCCAGCATGTTAGTTTCCTGCCGTTGATTTACAGGCTGTGACAGAAAATCCATTTCTGTTCCTGTAGATGCTAAATTCATTACCTTGCCACAGAATTCAGATTCTCCACTTCTCCTTGAACTTCAGCTTGCTGCTATGGCAACCAGTGCCAGACAATATATTTTTTCCTTCCCACTATTTTCCATTGGCACAGATGCATATTGCAGTAAAAATAGTATCCTTTTGCAATATTAAAAAATAATAATAATTGTGTTTTATTACAAGGGTTCCCCCTATACTGTGCATTAAGGTCATATATTACATATACAGCATAAATCTGATTAATCACAGTAAAATCAAAAGCTTTATAAACTAACAGGGCACATTTTCCTTATAGCTGTACTCAAAAAGAATTTTATTTTCTTCTTTCAAACCTCTCCACAGATGGACATCTTAGGTTACAGTAAAATGCTTTTGAAGTGGCCATGAAGATTGCATTTTTTGTCAATAAATAAGTGGTCATTCTTCTTTGTTTCAGATGCTGCCTCCACTTAGAGTTGTCAGATATACTCAGGGAGTAGCTTGCCGATGAAAGTCCATGTTGTTTTAAGCTAGTTTCTCTCTGAAGTCTTGTTAAAATTCCAAATTGGTTTCTGAGAGGGGTGTCTGATCTCTGCTGCAAGAAATCCAAGGAATGTCAGGAGGATGGAAATGAAAGCAGTCAATCAATAGGTTGCCCTTGCTCTCCTGAATGAGACATAAGACTGACAAAGCAAGTCTTGGTCCCTCCCAAATACAAGTTCTGTGAGGCTGCCAGTGAACACCACTGGTGTGGCACAACATGGAAGGCTGGTCAGTAGATGAATGAGAAGAAGATGAGAATTTTCTGGTTAAACTGGTTGGCAGTGCCTTGTCCAGAAACATTAGGGTTTTTAAAAATGTTCCGTAGGTATTCAAGAATGATGAAGTTGGGAGTAATTTATTTGTAGCAGTGGTTAACATACATTAATTGAAAGGATGTTTTTACATACATATAGAGCTTTGTTCAGCCATCGCTATACATATTGTTTATTTAGATTGAAAGATTTTTGACACCAGAGAGTGCTTTGCATGACCCTGGAAATTGTACAGATGCTTACACTGTAATAAGTGTATGCAGAAGATGTGTTAAAGTTGCAAAAACTCTTGGTAAACAGGAGCCATAATTATTTTTCCTCTTGTCACAGAGAATGGGAATATATTACTTTGCATCTCTCTAACCGTATGCTTTCTACGTGTGTTTAATCTTTCAGCTGGTTTTACTGCACCATTCTACTACAGTGCATAAGGGAGATACAGCCACTAATAAATTGATTTTCATGACAGCTCTCTGAGACGAAAGCATACTGGTACCCAGGTTTGTGAGAAGACACCTAAGTGACATAACAGTTAAAGCCCCAAATGTATAAGACTAGTTATCCAACCCAAGAAACCCACAGACTAATTTACAGTCTTTATCTTTCATGATGCACATCCGGGACACAGACAATCCTAGGCTGCAGTTACAGCTCTGAGTGCTCAGTAATTCTACAGACCTAACCCTTCCACAAACCTCATTGCCAGCATAGCCCTGAGCATAGCCTCCACCATGTGTATTAACCAAGGTAGGAATCCTGTATGAAATTATGAAAGTGAACACACAATCAAAGTTCATATTAAAATGTATATACAATGATCAAATCAATGCATGTTTTGTCTAGTTTTGGGATTACCTAATTTTTGTTTACTTAAACATGGAGCTGTAATATTAATTTAAGGCTTTGTAAATTATTACTTCCAGTAACTTTTTTTTTTTTTCCCAAGAATTTTATTTATTTTGTCTTACCCTGCATTGCTGACCATTCTCAAGTAAATAGGTATGCTAGTTTTGTATTTTGTTCTTTTTGTAGAGATCACAGAATCACAGAATTGAAGGGGTTGGAAGGGACCTTGAAAGGTCATCAGGTCCAACCCCCCTGTCAAAGCAGGTTCCTTAGAGCAGGCTGCCCAGGTAGGCATCCAGATGGGCCTTAAATATCTCCAGAGAAGGATATCTGTAGCCTATGTTTTGGTATTCTTTTTCCAAGGAAGAACTAAAGAAGTCTTCTGTCACCCCATAACCCTATACCCTCTTAGACACTCACTGGGCTTGTTCCCTGCATATATCCTCCACTCAGTGCTTTCTAATACAGTCAAGCAGCTTATTCCTTGTGGTGAAGTCAGCATGAGCAGTGAGAACATAGAAAAGGCATGATGGAATTTTTCTAACTTAATGATTGATGTCTAAAATTTAGACCTCTAAAACTGAAGCATGAACTGAAGGATAATTTGGCAGTAGATAGTGAGAAATACTGTCCTTCAGAGTGGATGTGTCTGAGTTTTGAGATAAAATAAAAGGACGGTGAGGACTGTGATTCACTTCTGCTGTTTTCAGTTTACTAAAGACATCACTTTTTTTACCCATAAGGCACAAGACACTGCCTGCTTCAGAGTGGGTTTAGTGCCTAACACATTTGGGCCCAGATTCTTTCATCTTGGTCCGCCATTACTTTCCATTACTCTATATTGATGAGATTATGTGATTTTGTCATTTTTGCTCATACTCATTGTTGTGACTGTGTGCATAAGAAATGAAAACTACAAAGTTTCCTGAAAAGAGCCGCCATCCAGGCCTTTCCAGCACTGACATTTCACTATCAGTTCTATTGCCCATTTTTATTCAATAACTACACTGAAATTGAATGTGCTAGAGTTTGACACTATACAAATAAATGCCACAGAGAGATGTACATCTGGTTTCAATAACAACAGCAATAATTTCCAATATTTGTTTTCATACTGAAGGACCAGAGTCCAACAACATTACTGGTGAGAAGAGCACTGAAAGTGAGAAGGGCATATAATTTATTACACATACAAAAACTATGTTAAAAGGACATTATTAAGGTTGTAAAGTCAAACACTTGAGACTTAGGAAATGCCAGAATTAAGGTGGTCTGTGCAACATTAATTTGACCTCGTGAATGTATTCCTCAAGACAGTCTTTAGTTACATGATTGTATGTGATTTCTCACCAAGACACCCACCTCAGTCAGTGCACAGAAAGTGTAAGTGGCCCATTCAAGCACTGCTATGCAATACTTATTTTTCTTCCCATGGCTGGCATGTGATGCTTTTACTCTGCACTTTACAATCCTTGCTCTGAAGAAATGACTGTTAGCTTCCTGCCCAGTGGCTCCTCTTGTTCATCACTGCTGCAGCCAAGCACTTTGTAGCATCATTTTTACAGAAATCAGTGCTTGTGTTAGTGAGTATGAAGTACCACATGAAAGAGTGGATGCTGAGGGCCTACGGCTCACATTGCAGTGGTTTGCTGCATCCCAGAAGCGTATTTTGAATACCCATGAATGGTTGGAGGACAGTAGGTGGGGGTGCCAGCAGAACAATTCCCAGCTTGATTGCACCCAAAGAAATCTTATCTGTGCCCCAGCAGGGCTCAGGAATGCAAACTGGAGTATGGTGAGTGGGGGCAACAGGAAGGTTAGCTTCAAAAACACACCACAGATTGGACTTACAAGGTTATGGTAGGCACATTCTGCAAGAAGAGCATCTGTTTTACAGATGGAGAAACCACACACATGGAGGTTAAAGCAAAAACCATCCACTAATTTTGGGAGCTGAATGTGAGATACCATGGGTGTAGAATCTTCTGACTTCCCACTTCCAGCAGTCCTTGCTCAAATCCCCTTTCTGACAACTCCTTGTTACACTCACAGACACTGATATTCTCCTGTTTGAACGTTTCATCCCTGTTGTAATTCAAGTCGACCCCTCAATGCACACTGGAATCAGTAAGTCAGATAATCTGCTTCTATATTAGAAAACTACACAGAGCCAGGGCAAGGGTCACAGCACAGCTTGCTTCCACATGGCTTAATTTTCTCCCCCCCTCCTACCATCCCCAGAAAACCTCATCCATTCTGCTTACCTGTGCCCATGCTGTTCTCCAAGCTCTAACTGGGCAGCTACTCTTGATAGTTCTATTTTCTCATCTTTGGCCTGGTTAATCATGCAGTTTCCATAGAACAGGGACTATAACTCTGTTTTCCTCCCTTACCAACATCACATTTCCCATATGGGGAGTATGAGCTCATGTTTTTTTCCATGTCCACAGAGCCTGAAATAAATCCAGCTGTATATAGCCAGGAAATTCCAGCACTTGGTATTTCCATTTCCTTAAAACATTCTATTTATTTTATCTGCATTTAATTTCAGCTGGAGGATAGGGCTGACAAGTTGCTGATCTGTAAACTTTGCTTGGTTTCATCCCCAGAGCACCATGAACTTTCTGTATGGAGGACTGGTGCATACTCATAAATACCCATGCTGCAGGCACCTTCCTCATGACACGATGTGGGAATGTGGATTTTTTTGTCCAACCATCTGATGCAGATGTCTGGCACCCATGAAAGTAGACAATTACTTTTTTTTTTTTTTTTTTTTTTTTTTTCTTCCCAGGCTTAATCAGCATATTTGCTCCCACATTGCCCCAGAACAGTAGCACATCTGATATCGCTTTGAGTTTGGACTTGACATCAGCCAATCAGTCAAATTTTCCAAATGTCCAGTACAAGGTATGTTGATGTTAAACAGGCAGTCACAACCACCCATCCCAAACCAATAAACAAGTAGCTCATCTTATTAAATTACATTGCTTGAGCTGTATTGAGCTGCTTTTTTAATCATAATGTCAAAATAATTGCTAATAGGAGAATGTTAGAAACACTTTCTTGTCCTGAACATGATGGAAGATGTTCAAGTAAATGAAAATCTTGTTAGTGTATGAACCACAGCCATAAACCACTACTATACACATTTTTCATAGTGGATCATCATGCCATATGGGTTTTTAATAAAATATATGACCCAGTTCAAACCTTGGCTATTGCTGTTATTTGTCATTTGTTATAAAGACACCAGACATGTTTGATTTCCCTAGTTAGATTAAATCTGTTTCTGTCTTTAGGTTATTGCTTCTTGAGAATGACATCTACCATATTCCTGATTAGTTTTAATTATCCTTCTTGCTTTCTTGCTTTTTCTATCTTGATAAGCATTTTTTTTTCCAGGTGTTTTGATTTTTTTTTTTTTGGATGACAAAGTATCTTGCTTAGTGCACGTTTATTGAAAGTTGCCATTTAAGAGCTAATTATAGTGCAGATAGTATTTCTCTTCAAGGCAAGTGGACTTAAAAACTTTTTTTTTTTTTGAAAAAATAAATAATTAACAGATACTTTGAGTATCATACTGTGTATATGTATGAGAGCTTGGTGAATGAATGTTAAGGTTCATGACCCTGTTTTTGTATCCCCTGCATAAGAAAAGACCTTTAGTTACTTTAGAAGGAAAGATCACATATAGGGCGACAGTAACAAGGAAGTAACAGATGATTCTGAACTGTTTTGTGAGATCCATATATATGGAAGAGCCTATATAAAAGTTTAAAAACTTGAGCTAGTTCCCAATCTGAAGTGAAGCTGTGTGGTGCCATTGACTTAGTCAGAATTTATTAAGATTTTCTTCAGGAAATATGACCCAGATGGTATTGTTTCCTCATGTTGTTCTCTCTTATTTGTTTGCTCATTTTCCAGCTGATTCTACTGACAGGCCTTTCCAAGCAGGCAGACCTGGTAGAAACCAGACAGGAGAAAAAGCAGTATGTTAACACCCCAGCTGACAGCACCTGACATTATTTCATAGGTTAAGATGAAGGCATATGGCAAATGTAGACCACTAACACGGGGATTAGAGAATTGTTAACATCTTGTTTTCTGGTGTTTTTCTCTAAGATTTAGTTCATTGCTTTTTTTTTTTTTTTTTTTCATTATAGGAAAGCAATCCTTCTTTTGCTGCCCAGACCACTTCATAAAGAAGATACAGATCTTCCCCTTGTCTGTTATTCAGCACATCTTCAACAGCTGAAGGAGGCCTTGGTGCCACGTAAGCAAAGAGCAGGAAAGCTCATGGTGAGAGCCTTCTGGAGCTTTAAATGCCAGAGTATTTTTATGCAAAACAAATGTCTGTTACCTCATATTATGGATTTAATGTCTGCTATTTTCAACTTTCACCATTTTATTAAAATAAAGTAAATGTTTTTTTTTTTTCTTTTTTTTTTTTTTACCTGTCTGTTTTTAATTTTCTCATATATATCTGGAATGAGGAGGAACTGTTTCAGAAGACTTGAAAAAATATAGAAGCAAGAAAGAGACCTTTTTTTTTTTTTTTTTTCATCACAGTTTTAGTGTTTTAGTATAAGGTTCCGGCAGCTTATTTGAGCTGCTCAGTTCTGATGTCATAACACCTTAAAAAGGAGGCATGCTGCCTTGACTGATGGTTCAGAATACTACAGATTGATGCATGAGCTCACTAGAGGGATAGACAGAGTGGGTTCAGAAGTGTAGCCCCAAAATATCTGTTAGAGTGCAGCCCATGGGGGTTACTCTTGGCCTGTCACCAGTATCTCTCTGGATGGACCTCATGAGGTTGAACCAGTGCTGTGCATTGCGTGATTCCCTTAATGTGGGATGCTGTGTTTTGGGGAAGCATAGGCATTTGCTTGTTGAACTTATGTTTTGTTTTCCTTTTTCTTTTCTTATGGAAAAAGCACAAGGTCCCTCCATGCCACATCACTCTGTCATGAGAGAACTTTGGCAGGAGCAAGGCATTAAATGGTTTGTACAAGGCTGCCTTTATGCATTCGCAGGTGTCTAAGTTGAGGTATGCAGGGAATTTCATAGACCAGCCTGGATCTTGTTTTCAGTCACATATCAAAATGCGTGCCATGCCTACTTAGCATGAAAAACATGCCAAACATGGAAGCAATGAAAGTCTGAATAGGAGAATATCACCTTTTAAAAACCATTAATAAAGTTTTCAAAAATAAAAATAAGTAGAATTCATTACCCTAAAATGTAGCCTTTAATCTTTTCAAGGCTGGCATGAGCCCTAACCATAGGTTTTGGAGTAATTAAATGATCATATAATACTAAAATGATTATGTGGGCTTTCACAACCAAATTTTAGACCTGTTGGGCTTTTCAGTATGATCTAATGGCTGGTGCACAGAAGCTGTTGTTAAGACTCCCAGGCTCTGTTTCTCCTTTCTGCCAAGATTTACAGCTAATGAGATGCTATTTTCTGCACTGCCTGGCTAGTGCAAAACTGTATTTGTTAAGGGTTGTTTTTATGAGCTAAGATTTACAGTTTCTAACGATCACATGCAAAGTAAACCTTTTATTTACTTAACCACTATGAAAAACTGCATGTAACAAAATCATCATATAATTCTTGCTGCAGAAACATAGCTGCTTTACGGCCACTGTGATTTTTTTAGACTTATACAAAGAACCAAATCTTGTCACCTTTGCTTATGCTGAGTGGAATCTTTGCAAGCAGTCCTGTAGAGATGATTTTTCAGTTTCATGAATAATTTTCTGAGACTTTGGTGGAAAAGAAGTCTGAAAACTGAAAAAAGTGGAATGAACAACATTTTCAGAGCCAAGGAGCAAATTGGTCTTTTCTGTTCAGGTATGTGGAACTCGTTCTGGTTACTCAAAGAGAGAATTGCTATTCAAACTTTGGTTATCAGAATCCGGCCCAGAGTAAACAAAGTTTTTCATGGCAAAGCCATAAAAACTCCATAATATGCCCAAATTTGAACAATTTACAGTAACTCTGAAGTCTTTGGTTGTTCAGAGAAGGACTTAATCTTGTTTATGATGTTCAATGATAATTCTGGGAATTAACTTCCTTTTACTTTACATTTGTATCTGTCAGTATGTCCGTGGCTTACTGTTCAGAATTTTATGCAATGATTTCAGGTCACATATATTTAAGATGTGATGCTTGTTATATTATTATTTTGACAAGGTTTGACATGAGTGAATACATAATATTTCAGTAAACTTCTTAACCTTCTTAAGCTGAAATGAAACAGATTTATTATTATTATTATTATTTATTAATAGATTGAACTCTTGATTTCTGCAGTCTTCATCTGTTTTTTCTTGTGGTCTCAGCTCTAAGATACATGCTTAGATGTTTTACATGTCTCTTCAAGCAGACCAAACAATAAGAAAGGGACAGAAATCCTCTCTCAGACAGAGGTTTTCTGACACCAGTTTGATACAGTCATAATATATTAATAACCAGGATAATAACACTGTATCATCAGTGCAATAACCAATGATTGTGCTACACCAATACAGACACGAGTATTTTTATTCCAAAGTTCAAGCCTCATAGTCTTTTGTTTCTTTAGATTGACCTAAGCATATCTACAGTACTTGTGGTTTTCCATTCTTGTGAATTGTGTGTAGGAATAAAGTAATTTTCTGGACCTGTATCTTCTGCCACTACTGCATTTTGACTAACAATGCTATCACACTATCCTTAATGTAAATACATATAATGAGGATTAAGAAGAGCCCTTTATTTTGTTGTTTATTTATTTATAGTTTTTATTTATATTATGTTTTTCAAAGACCATTGTTTGGATTTGGGCGTATCCCAAACAACTGCAGCCACTCGAACCAAGGGAAGAGGACCCCTACCAGGTACAGTGTATAGGTGGCCAGCTTTTCTTTATGTGCATAGAACATTCAGGTGGACATGTACAAGTACATCACAGTTGTGTGTTGCATTTTCTGATTGGCTGCATAGTTTTTTTAAGACCCTAAAGGGACAGCAACGGAATTCTCTGAACTTCTACAAGGGAGAATAAGACAAAAGTTTATGTCCAGCAAATAGGAGCCACAGAAGAAGCACAAAGGAGTGATGCAAATATTGGAACTACTAGATATTCTGCTGGTCATTCTTTAGAGAAATAAAAAAACAATAACAAATGTAAGCTCATCAAAATGTATAAAAATAGGACATACTTTGTGCTACATCTGGATTTGTGTGTTTATGTCTTTCTACAATCTAATTCAACAGCTTCTTCTAACAAAGACAAATGTTTGCTCATTGATGTTGAGAAGACAGCTTGTTTGTAGAAGGGTTATACAATGAGTGAAATTTAGAGTAGTAGTTCGTGAAGCTAATAACAAATAAGCAAACAAAACTAATAAAACTACTTTAGGCAGCTGTTGTCCAATTGTAATTTATACAAATATTGAAAAATACACTCTGTCCAAAATCTTCACTCAGGACTGATTTGAGGTGTATTTGATTTACAGTCACAGAATTCACTACAGTGTAGTGCAATGATTTCTACACTGGCTTTACATGTACAATCAGTCAACCCCCATATCATGGAGCTCACACAAGAAGTTGATTGAAGAGTATGTTGTGTACCTGGACTTAATACAGTAGTCATGTCTTTGATTTCTCTGTAGTCACTGCCTTAATAAGTTGGCCATCATTTAAACTAAAATCATCCACATTTGTCCATTAGAACAAAAGAGCATTAGTACAGCCTCCATCTTAAGGAGACCTGGAATCTAAGACAGGAAGCTGGGAATTCCCTCTAAGTTTATCACGGAAAGGTTCAAAATTTCCATGAAATGCTGCTGTTGGGAGGGCACACTCTGAGTAGAATAAACGACCATATTTATACTGTTAAATACTCTTATAATACTTATAATACTCTTATAATACTTATAATACTCTTATACTCTTAATAGGCTAATGGAACATTTTCTCCATAACACAGGTTGCTGAATAGTAAAGCAGAGTTGTTACATAGCAAATTCAAGCAAGAGGAAAAACTAACATGCAGAACAAGGGCGAGAGTTTTGATTTAAAAGTTCATGGATTGCAAATGAAAGCACTCAAATAACAGAATAAAAAAAAAAAAAAAACAAAAACAGGTTTGCTGGGCAGTGAAGAAGGGGCAGAATATGCACTCATGAATGTGGATTATGATTCAGCATCTGGGCCTAAGTCTTTGAAGACATGGAAAAAATGTTGGATCAGTGACCATCCATTTCCAGATGTCAAGTGAAATGTATATTTAGATAGCATGACACCCCAGTCCTGGAGCATATATCACATGGAGTCAGGCCCACTGGGGCTTTTGGAAAGAAATGGAGATCATATGAAAAGTCAGAGTCATCGTTAAAACTCATGGCATGTTACAACCATTCAAGTTCTCAAAACACTACCACCCGAGAGCAGGAGGAAAATAAGTGCATGGGGAATCTGGAGTTCAACTTCTTTGTTCTGCTGACTTGGTGATATTTCTGAATTATTTGTAGTATTACAACAGATTAATATTTATAGAGCTTAGAGCAAAGATGCTGGAGAACCCAGCATCAAGGTCCTCAGTAATGATACTGACAAGCTCTGTCTGTTTAGCCTAGATCATAGTTTGGTTTTCTCTTTTTTGTTTGTTGTTTGTTTGTTTTTGTTTTTCTTTTTCCTTTCTCTAGCAATTATAGGAGTATCTTCTAATTAGAAGATAGCTGGTTGTGATCTAAGTGTTTCCAAAGACACACAGGAATAGTAGATTTGAGAAGTGCAGAGAGCCATTGTTCATTTCAGTAAAACGTTAACCTGAGGTCTAATTACGGAAAATTAATGACTAACAGTGGTGCTTTGGTCTTGCAGGAGAAGTTTACAAAACTGGGTGAAGTATGATCAATGTATGATTAATTTTCCCTTTTTCTCTAATGTGAACAGAGCAACCCTCATAGAAGGGAAATTAAAAATGCCTTCCTTAAAACACACTTTCTCACTGAAACCGATGGTGGTGGTGCATTTTCAAAAAGGCTGGTGTGGTCAGTAGCATGATTTTCTGAACCAGCTATGAAGCTAAGGACATTACAGTCAAGTGCATCCTTTGTGTATCTCACTTCCATGTTCCCCAGGGAGGTGCCTGATGCAAGATCCTTGCTGGCTGTGTGCCCGCGCCACACCCTACACGCTGCAAGTAAATAATAGTGTTTTTTCTACATGTAGGGAGTGAGAAAGGACAGTAGTGTGACTGGCCCAAAAGGGAGCCTCATTCTGCTCTTGGGCCTCATTTGGTGGCTGAATAGGGGGAGGTAGGAGTGGGGGGGGGGGGGAAGGGGGAAAGGGGGGGAGAAGAGGGAGGGAAGGGGGGGAAGGAGGGTCAGGGAAGACTTCTGTGCCACTTTTGTCTCTGCAAGTGTCAGTCCCAGATAATGTGCCGCTTCTTTTGAATTGTAAAGAACCAGCAGTGGCTATAGATCCTCCTTGCTTTCCATAGCCACCTCTTCTGGATGAAAATCCTCTCTCACCATGCCTCAGAAGGTAATCTAGCAAGCTTTTGAAATTATAGTGCATTGTGCTGCTCCAGAAATCTATGAGAATGATGCACGTTTTCCAAACCCGCTCTGCACACCAAGCACTGTCAAAAATGTTTTTGCCTTCCTGCTTGCACAAATCGAGCTTTTGAGTGTACCCAGGAATCCTGCCCCTCCCCCTGGCTTTATGGATGTGGGATTTCACTTGCAGCAACGGCTCATCCTCTGCATGGGAGCCTCTGTCACGTTTCCTCTCTGTGCCAATCCATCCCCCATGGAGAGAGTTTATAGCAACCAACAATGAACAGAGGATTGAAGCAGATGCAAATAAAGGGCTAGTGAACATTTTTAGCTCAAAAGAATGAACCATGTTCACAGGGTTTCTAAGCAGGCTGAATTGCAGAGTCTAGTTGGTATATACAGCTTGCTCATTGTGCAACAGATTCTGACTAATTCCTGTCTTCTTGACCATCACTAATAACATTAAAATTAATTAACATGATTTAATTGCCAAAACTAATAACTTCATCCACAAATAATGCTAGGTGCTTCTTGCTGCTCCTTTTGAGTTATTCCAATGTTCTTAATGATAATGTGGCTCAGATATATTTCATACATATTATACTTTATAGTTCATAGATATAAAGATGATTTAAATATATCTGATATAGTGACACTGTCCATATGCGATACACTATATATGGTAATATATATAGTAAGGGGTTTGTTATAGTCTCACATTGTACTTCCATTCTGTATGAAGATGTATAATTTATTCACACACCAATATCTAAACACGTGTGCAAAAGCAAATGTGTATGTATCAATATGTCTCACATAGAAATGAGTATGCACCAACTTGATTTAAGTATGAATGGATACATAGTCAAAGATTTTTCTATTAGCAACAATGTTTTGTTATCGATCACATCACACATCTGAAACACTTATTCAGCATAAAATATCTGCTTTCTGCAGAAGCTGCCATCTTTTTTTTTTTTTCCCCTTCCTCTTCTTCCCCCCCCCCCTCTTTCTTTCTTCAAATCCTCTGACCTCCCTTGGGAAGGCTTTTATGCATGTTCAGTATGCTCACACAACTATTTCTACCAGCACTGTTACCATAGAAACCAAGTGATTTTTTTTTTCCCCTCCTCCACTGTCAGGGTTTGGACCTAGTGCCAGACCTCTTTACTGTTAGCAATAATATTTTTTCAATATTTGGACAGATCCTTTAGAAAAAACAAAATGTGTTTACATTTTCAAAATGTGGTATTTTATTTTGGGTTACAAATTTTCAGGTATTAACATCAACCAATTGATTTACATATTACTAGGAGCTAGTCAGCTCTTTCTTTTGCAACATTTAGACCATGACATTTTGTAAGGAAGATGCCAGAATTAGTTATTAATTGTAGGATTCAACTCAGAACATGATGAAGTAATTTAAATAAAAAGATTTATTTAGCAGGTCAATGGACTGTGGCTCTCATTTTAAATTTTTTTTAGTACTCATTTTCAACATGTTTCTTTAGTATACACAGAAATAGCTTGATCATGCCTAATCGACAAAGAGAGATGTGTAATTAATTACTATATAATTTACAACTTATTGATTGGCATAATGTGTAGTGCTCACATTAACAGCTTCCTCATATAAATTTCTAAGTACTTTGATTCTCTGACTACATATCATATTGATTTTTTAAATGAGTCTACGCTTGGTTAGATACACAACATAACTGTTCTATTTGGGCTGAATAAATTATTTCAATTAATATGACATAGAAAACATAGCTTTTCAGTGAACCATTTGAAATATTTTAAGTGTAATTTAATATAAACAAAACACACATACACATTATATCATATCTATGCTACAATTCAAATATGTCTCATAGCTTTTAGCCACTGCCTGCATTAGTTGATGTGCAGTATTATGCTGAAATAACACATTTCCCAGAAATTCTGCCTGCTGATAACATACACTGTATATTTTGGGTGAAAATATCATATTGTACCAGCAAAATGTGGCAGGAGAGAGACCTGACATGACTGGAAATTGCATTTTTTCTTGATAGGCAAGCACTGGCCTTGCAGACTCACGTCCAAAACAACTGACTGCCCTGTAACGTAATTATTAGCAGCAAGGCCACCAGAGTGAGCTTTGGTCTTCTTCTTTCCCTGCAGTATCTGTTCAGTGTGAGAGGTAATTATAATCATGGAGAGATGAAAATGAATTATAGCATGCTTTAGTGTGTTTTGCGTGCATTTTTTCTTCAGTGACAGAAGAGGGAGCAGTCCTTCCTTCTCACTGTCTGAATGTTATATTTGGCCCCCATCCCCCCTGC